CCACCAGCAAGGTACCCCCACTACATCACACATACATTGCTCTAACAGCATTGAAGAATCATAGAATCATAGAATAATAGGACTGAAAGAGACCTCGAGAGGTCATTGAGTCCAGCCCCCCGCCCTCAAGGCAGGACCAAGCTCCGTCTACACCATCCCTGACAGATGTCTATCTAACCTGTTCTTAAATATCTCCAGAGAGGGAGATTCCACCATCTCCCTTGGCAATTTATTCCAATATTTGACCACCCTGACAGTTAGGAATTTTTTCCTAATGTCCAATCTAAACCTCCCTTGCTGCACTTTAAGCCCATTACTCCTTGTCCTGTCCTCAGAAACCAAGAGGAACAAATTTTCTCCTTCCTCCTTGTGACACCCTTTTAGATATTTGAAAACCGCTATCATGACCCCCTTTAATCTTCTTTTTTCCAAACTAAACAAGCCCAGTTCATGAAGCCTGGCTTCATAGGTCATGCTCTCTAGACCTTTAATCATTCTTGTCGCTCTTCTCTGTACCCTTTCCAATTTCTCCACATCTTGCTTGAAATGTGGCGCCCAGAACTGGACACAGTACTCCAGCTGAGGCCTAACTAGTACAGAGTAGAGCGGCAGAATGACTTCACAAGTTTTGCTTACAACACACCTGTTGATACAACCTAAAATCATATTTGCTTTTTTTGCAACAGCATCACACTGTTGACTCATATTCAACTTGTGGTCCACTATGACCCCTAGATCCCTTTCCGCCATGCTCCTTCCTAGACAGTCGCTTCCCATCTTGTATGTATGGAACTGATTGTTCCTTCCTAAGTGGAGCACTCTGCATTTCTCCTTATTAAACCTCATCCTGTTTACCTCCGACCATTTCTCTAACTTGCTAAGGTCATTCTGAATTATGTCCCTATCCTCCAAAGAAGTTGCAACCCCACCCAGTTTGGTATCATCTGCAAACTTAATAAGAGTACTCTCTATCCCAATATCTACATCATTGATGAAGATATTGAACAGTACGGGTCCCAAAACAGACCCTTGAGGAACTCCACTTGTTATCCCTTTCCAGCAGGATTTAGAACCGTTAACAACAACTCTCTGACTACGGTTATCCAGCCAATTATGCACCCACCTTATCGTGGCCCTATCTAAGTTATATTTGCCTAGTTTATCAATAAGAATATCATGCGAGACCGTATCAAATGCCTTACTAAAGTCTAGGTATATGACATCCACCGCTTCTCCCTTATCCACAAGGCTCGTTATCTTATCAAAGAAAGCTATCAGATTAGTTTGGCATGACTTGTTCTTCACAAACCCATGCTGGCTATTCCCTATCACTTTATTACCTTCCAAGTGTTTGCATATGATTTCCTTAATTACCTGCTCCATTATCTTCCCTGGGACAGACGTTAAACTGACCGGTCTATAATTTCCTGGGTTGTTCTTATTCCCCTTTTTATAGATGGGCACAATATTTGCCCTTTTCCAGTCTTCTGGAATCTCCCCTGTCTGCCATGATTTTTCAAAGATCATAGCTAAAGGCTCAGATACCTCCTCTATCAGCTCCTTGAGTATCCTGGGATGCATTTCATCAGGACCTGGTGACTTGCTGACATCTAACTTTCCTAAGTGATTTTTAACTTGTTCTTTGTGTATCCTATCTTCTAAACTTACCCTCTCTCTGCTTGTATTCACTACGTTAGGCACACCTCCAGACTTCTCGGTGAAGACCGAAACAAAGAAGTCATTGAGCATCTCCGCCATTTCCAAGTTCCCTGTTACTGCTTCTCCCTCCTCACTAAGCAGTGGGAAGCGGGCGGCGGGACCACCCAGACACGCCGCGGTCCCGCCGCCCGGGTCCTCCGCAGCTTTGCTCCACGTCTCCCTGGTCTGCTGGGGGGTACCAGCATTACCGGTACACCTCGAGTAATGGTAGTTCGAATTAGAGAGCCTAATTCGAACTACCTTCTCCGTGCCGCGTGTAGCCACGGGCGCAGAGTCCGCACTAAGGGGGATTTAAAAATGGCGGTGCCCGGCAAGATGCAAATGAAGCCCAGGATATTTAAATCCCGGGCTTCATTTGCAACTTCGAATGCCTACATTAGCCACCCTAGTTCAAACTAGGGTGGCAGTGTAGACATACCCTGAGTATGGTTATCCAGCCAGTTATGCACCCACCTTATAGTAGCCCCATCTAAGTTGTATTTACCTAGTTTATTGATAAGAATATCATGCGAGACCGTATCAAACGCCTTACTAAAGTCTAAATATACCACATCCACCGCTTCTCCCTTATCCACAAGTCTCGTTATGCTATCAACGAACGCTATCAGATTGGTTTGACATGATTTGTTCTTTACAAATCCATGCTGGCTGTTCCCTATCACCTTGCCACTTTCCACATGTTTACAGATTATTTCCTTAATTACTTGCTCCATTATCTTCCCTGGCACAGAAGTTAAACTAACTGGTCTATAGTTTCCTGGATTGTTCTTATTTCCCTTTTATAAATGGGCACTGTATTTGCCCCTTTTCAGTCCTCTGGAATCTCTCCTGTCTCCCATGATTTTCCAAAGATGATAGCTAGAGGCTCAGATACCTCCTCAATCAGCTCCGGCAGGCATCTAACTTTTCTAGGTGATTTTTAACTTGTTCTTTTTTTATTTTACCTTATAAAACTACTCCTTTCCCATTAGCATTCACTATGTTAGGCATTCCTACAGACTTCTCGGTGAAGACCGAAACAAAAAAGTCATTGAGCATCTCTGCCATTTTCAAGTTTCCTGTTACTGTTCCTCCCTCCTCACTGACCAGGGGGCCTACCCTGTCCTTGATCTTCCTCTTGCTTCTAATGTATTTATAAAAAGTCTTCTTGTTTCCCTTTATTCCTGTAGCTAGTTTGAACTCATTTTGTGCCTTTGCCTTTCTAATTGAGGTCAGCTGAGGTCAAATTGAGGTCAGCTGAAGAGGCTTTGCTTCGTGTTCCCCCACTGGTGGGGATAAGATTAACATCTATGCAGAACAGGACCTTCTCAGCTTTTGCTCCCAGGTGGTGGAATTTTCTTCCTTGAAATATTCGCAGGGCGCCAACACTAGCATTCTTTCAGCGTCAGGCAAAAGCCACCCTTTTTATTCGTGCTTTTATTAATGTTTGAGTCTGTAAGTGTATGTTCCTCTTCTCTATATGTTTTTTTAGCAGGTTTCATGTCTCTTTGGGGTCTCGTATTTTAAATTTTTATATATGTTTGTATTGTGTTTGTAAGCCGCCTCAAATATTTTAAATAGAGAGGCGGAGTACAAATATTTAAATAAATAAATACATAAATAATTCGTCCACTCTACTGTGTGCTGCTTAGGCCTCAATTGGAATATTGTGTCCAGTTCTGGGGACCACATTTCAAGGAAGATATGGAGACATTGGAGAAAGTCCAGAAAAGAGCAACAAAAATGATGAAAGGTCTAGAAAACATGACCTATGAGGGGAGACCGAAAGAATAGGGCTTGTTTAGTTTAGAAAAGAGAAGACTGAGAGGGGACATGATAGCGGTTTTTAAGTATCTAAAAGGGTGTTACAAGGAGGAGGGATAAAAATTGTTCTCTTTGGCCTCTGAGGATAGGACAAGAAGCAGTGAGCTTAAACTGCAGCAAAGGAGGTTTAGGTTGGACATTAGGAAAAACTTTTGACTGCCAGGGTGGTTAAACAGTGGAATAAATTGCCTAGGGGGGTTGTGGAATCTCTATCCCTGGAGATATTTAAGTGCAGGTTAGACAGACACCTGTCAGGGATGATCTAAACCAGGGCTACTCAACTTTGGAAGCCCCGAGGGCCACGGTGATACTCACAGCACATGCTGAGGGCCGCAACTTAAGGGTGGTTTCATATACATGCCAATATATATGCAAATATATGCAAAGAGCTTCTTTCACACTGATGGGCATGAATACTGATGGGCAAGATTAAGGCAAGACTTCACAACGCGCAGGCCCCATTTAAGTCAGTTCTGCTGATATTAATAAAATGCAATATTTACCTGATTTCCACCCATATGACAGCACTTTTAATAAGCAATGACAGTCCAGGAATTTAACTACTAAAATGCATAGCAACAGAAGGCCATTATATTGACTACTTTTTTGTTTTTGCTCCTATCCGCAGGCTGCAAACCAAAACCACACCACAGGCTGCAAGCAAACAGGCCATAGGCCGCATACGGCCCATGGACTGCGTGTTCAGTAGCCCTGATCTAAACAGTGCTTGGTCCTGACATGAGGGCAGGGGACTGGACTCAGTGACCTCTCAAGGTCCCTTCCAGTTCTGTGATTCTAGGAAAGCATTGTAGCATAAGTCCCAGGTTTCTGGCCACATTCAGTCAGCATCAGCTCCCTCTCACTCTATGTGATTCAGAAAAGACTGATATCTCGCATAGCAATATGGATAAAGGAGGGGAAGCTATTAGCTGCTGCCACTGATGGCTTCAGCCTCTAGCACTCTCTCTGTCTCTTCTGTCTGCAGGCTCCTGAGGGATGGGAAAGTAGCATTTTCCCAAAAAACAGGGTGTGGCAGACACAGAGGTAAGCCATGTGACCTACTACCCTGCCCCACTGGCATGACTGGACCCTGTCCCCACCTCCGACCTACAGAATTGTGCCCTTGCAGTCCCCTTACCATGCCTGCCTCCAAACCATGAGTCCAGATGTTCCCTTGAGAACTGTTTAGTGTACATGTCGTAAAGTGGTTGCTTTAACGCATAGCTTTGGCCTTGCACAGAACACACCAGTGTATGTTAATAGATTAGGTTTTAGGCTCCAACAATGTATCTCTTATAATGTGTGCCCTTGTAACTTTTTGTTATAGCGGAAACAACAGTGAGTTCGTTGCGTACTTCCCCAGCTTCAACAGCTGTCAGACTTGCACAAATCCACAAGCAAAAATGGACAAGAGAAAACATGTTTAAGGAGCAAATGGAGTGGAGGAATACACTACTGGAGGAGATACGACCGGAGTGGCATGAAAGAAGAACATGCAGGGAACTGTAAGTGAAGCACCAGGACAATGTTTTATTATCCTTGACATCTGCAATGGATGCATGGCGGTATACCTGGACAGCTTCCCCACTGCACCCCTAGCAGAACAACTTTCCCTCCTCATTCAGTTACATGGCCTCCACCCCCAAGGACCCGAGGATGTGGGGTAAGGAGGTAGAACTCAAAGACAGCCTGACACTCAACCTCCAGGGTGTCACGAAGCAAAAGGCTGTCCTTACATTTCTGATTCCTTCCCCAAGGGTCCCATGATGGACTCCTTTTCTGTCCTTGCTGTGTTCCCTAAATGAAAACACATGGGCTACGTCTACACTGGCCCCTTTTCCGAAAGGGGCATGCTAATTTGACAGGTCATAATAGGGAAATCCGCGGGGGATTTAAATATCCCCCGCGGCATTTAAATAAAAATGTCCGCCGCTTTTTCCGGCTTTTAGAAAAGCCGGAAAAGAGCGTCTACACTGGCCCCGATCCTCCGGAAAAAAGCCCTTTTCCGGAGATCTCTTATTCCTACTTCAAAGGTTTGAAGTAGGAATAAGAGATCCTCCGGAAAAGGGCTTTTTCCGGAGGATCGGGGCCAGTGTAGACGTTCTTTTCCGGCTTTTCTAAAAGCCGGAAAAAAGCGGCGGACATTTTTATTTAAATGCCGCGGGGGATATTTAAATCCCCCGCGGATTTCCCTATTACGACCTGTCAAATTAGCATGCCCCTTTCGGAAAAGGGGCCAGTGTAGACGTAGCCATGAATTCTGAAGAACAGTCTCTTTATTGCTTATATTGCAGGGGTGAGGGGGAGTATTATAGGCAAACATGCTGAATGCAGAGACACCTTGTTGAGAGTAACGTGCATGACTCTCAAGACTGGCCATTCATAACACTTTATTTCAAAGCCTCTCTGATTTTCACTGTCCCACACTGTGCTCTCTTTATTGCCCTGGTGACTAGCTGCTCAAAATCTCTTCCTAGGTGCTCTGTCTTAGCCCCCCACCTGCCACATAACTTTTCCCCTCCGACTCACAAATGTTTTGGAGCACACAGCAAGCTGCCACCAAAAAGGGAATGCTGTATTAACTGAGGTCTAATTTAGTCAGTAAACTTCTAAACCTTCCCTTTAAATATCCAAAAGCTCATTCCACCACGATTTTGCATTAGCTCAGCCTGTAGTTGAACTGCTCCCCTTACTGTGGTCCAGACTGTCCGTGTTCAGCTTCATGAACCACGAAAGCAAAGGGTAGGCTGGGTTGCCAAGGATCACTATTGGCATTTCCACCTCTCTGAAGGTAATTTTCTGGTCTGGGAAAAAGTTTCAGCTTGTAGAGTTCTGAAGAGGCAGGAGTTACTAAAGATGTGCATGTCATGTATCTTTCTTGACCATCCAATGTTTTGATATTGGTGAAACAACCCTTGTGATGCACCACTTCCTGCAGCACTATAAAGAATTACTCCTTGCAGTTTATGTACTCCTTGTCAAGATGGTCAGGTGCCAAGCTGGGGATGTGCGTTTCGTCTCTTGCCCCACTGCAGTTAAGGAACCCCATCAAGGCAAAGCCCTCCACAGTGGCAGCCACATTTCCCAGAGTCACTACCCTTTGTAGCAGAATGGTATTGATTGCTTTGGCTACAGCCCCCATTACAGATTTTCCCACTCTGAATTGATTCCCAAATGACTGGTAGCTGTTGGGTATTGCAAGCTTCCACAGGGCAATTGCTACGTGCTTCTCCACTGTCAGAGAGGATCTCATTTGAGTGTTCTTGTGCTTCAGGGTGGGGGGGAAACAGTTTGCAAAGTTCCATGAAAGTGGCTTTGTGCATTTGAAAGTTTTACAGCCACTGCTGATTGTCCCATACCTTCAGCACAATGTAGTGCCACAAGTCTGTGCTTGTCTGACAGCATCATGACCAATGTGGCATTTCCAATTTGCTGAACTCAAGGGCTTACATGAAAAGCATGTCCATGCCTTCCTGAGATTTGTCCTCGTCCTCTTCCTTAAGGGCCATGCATACACTTTCAAAGCACTCTGCTATTAGGTGCACCAAGGTAAACATCATCATCACAACGCGTTGATGTACAATGGGATAGACAAGAGGGTCCATACTCACACTGCTATGGCATCTGTGAGAGTAACCAGGGCTAAAAAGAGTGCAGAAAGACTTTTCCAATGATCTCCAGAAAGGGGGTAGGGAAAAGACGAATGCATTATGGGACATTGACGACATGAACCCAGAACCACTCGCTGCACAGTTTTGGTCCCAATGTGCACCAGGAGCATAACTAAGAATGCAAAATGGCGTAGGTATTGTGAGATAGCTATCCACAGGGCATTGCTCTCAAAGTCAATGGCAATCTCCCTACTGGGGACGCACTACTTCAAACTATGTTGAATCCTAGTACTTTTACTTTACAAAATTGTGTGGTAAGAAATCAGCCTTAATAAATTTAACCTTACCTTGTAATGTAGACATGGGTCATGATGAACTAAGGAAAAGCCCCAAGTTAGGAGCCAGGAACTGTCTCTAGGAGGAGGAGCCCTGAAGGCAACACTCTCTCCTGAGTGGTGAAACAACTGACACACACAGAGTCCGCTGAGATGGGCCACTGTTGAGTAGCCAGGAAGGGGTTTGAGAGATTCACACAGGCTGTGTCTACACTGGCATGAATTTCCGGAACTGCTTAAAATGGAATACTATTCCGTTTTCAGTTTTTCTGGAAAAGGAGCGTCTACATTGGCAGGCTGCTTTTCCGGAAAAGCCCTTTTTCCGGAAAAGTGTCTGTGGCCAATGTAGACGCGCTTTTCCAGAAAAGAGCCCTGATCGCCATTTTCGCTATCGGGGCTTTTTTCCGGAAAAGACTACTGGGCTGTCTACACTGGCCCTTTTCTGGAACAGTGTTCCGGAATAAGGACTTATGCCCGAGCGGGAGCAGAATAGTTTTTCCAGAATAGCGGCTGATTTTGTACAGTAGAGCATTGTTGCTTTTCCAGAAATTCAAGGGCCAGTGTAGACAGCTCGCAGCTTATTCCGGAAAAGCGGCTGATTTTCCAGAATAAGTGGCTCAGTGTTGACACAGCCAAAGAGTGTGACTCAGCCACAGGGCTGAATAGACAAAAAAGGCTGAAGAATAGAGAGCAGGCACATGCACTCAGCCACATGGCAGCACACATAGGAGGTGAGTGTCATCCCATTATACCCTCCCACCCCCAAGCTCCCAGGCTACGTCTACACTGGCCCCTTTTTCCAGAAATGCTTAAAACAGAATACTATTCCGTTTTCAGTTTTTCCGGAAAAGCGCGTCTACATTGGCGGCGCGCTTTTCCGGAAAAGCAGAAGCCGGGAGCCATTTTGAAGAGGGCAAAGGCCACCAGACCTTTACGGGGGCGGGGCCAGAGCGCCGTTCAGACACGCGGTTAAAGGGGTCTCGCCGGGCAGCCGTTGGTCTCCTGCTCCCGTGCGTTGGGGCCTCTGCCAGGGACTGACACCCTTCGCAGATCTGTGGGTGCCCTTTGACTTTTGGGGACACCACCCTTTGGCCCCCAACTGCTTTTCCCTGCGGTTTTTTTTTCTGCCCTGCTCTGTCTACTATGGAGCCACGGGTGGCCATGTGCCTGGTCGGGCCCCTCTTGGGGCTGTTCAGGTGGCTGCAGCTCGTGCTGCAGGCCAGTGCCATGCTGTTCATGGACCAGGAGGCAGAGATCGCCTTGGACGCCCTCACCAGGGGGGCCCTAGCAACCCTGTCGCATCAGCACCCCACCGTATACCGGCCACTCTGGAGTTTGGACATCAGCACCAACTGGTGGGACCGTGTGGTCCTCAGACTATGGGACGACCACCAGTGGATCCGAAATTTTCAGATGAGGAAGCAGACCTTCTTGACGCTGTGCACCTGGCTCACCCCCGCGCTGCAGAGAACCGCCACCCGGCTGCGGGCACCCATCCCCGTCAACAAGAGGGTTGCCATCG